GCTCATTCAGGTTAAGAGCAAGATTTTTTTTGAATGCGTTTTAATATTAATATGGAGCATATTGCAACAAAACCAGACAAAGTGAACATTGGTATTACCAGAAATTTCAGGGATCAATAGTGTTTGTTTAACATCACAATTGTGTTACCAATGTAATGTGATCATGATATTTGTCTATGATATTTATTTGCCTAGACAAAAATAGTTAATATGAAGCTAATTTACATTAGGTCTACCATGGAACCAAAGAATTATAGTACCATTAGAAGTATTTTAAAAAATGAACAAGGTGAAACAATTGCTCCTTATGTTTTCAAAATAAATAATACTTAGAAACTGGAAACTTATCTAAGAAAAGAAAGGATTACCTATGAAATTTATCAAAAAGAAAGAAAAATAATAAACATAAGAAAAGAAAGCAGAATGAAGATGTGCTATTACCCAACTAAAAACAGAAATACTTAGAAGAAAAATAATCTCATCGTTACAATATTGATTTTTAATTCTTCTAATGACATAAGTCATAGCAATTATAAAACCTAAAAAAGTTATATCTATTATTCATAAATATTCTTTGAAATATTGTTTTTATATTCATCAGCAGCTTTGTCAAAATCTTCATTACATTTATAATCAGGAAGAGTGTAAATCTTATTTTTATCAGTAGTACTGTAGCTGCTTCTTTATAATCATTGGATTATCATTAATAAGATATCAAAAGCCAGAACATTTTCTCTAACTTACATCTAATGGAAAATAACTATCATTTTCTTTGATAGTTGGAATAAATTCCAATTTATACAGAGAAAAATTACTTTCTTATTTTCAATCAAGGTCATTTCTTAGTTTCTTTAACCCCAACAATTAAACATCAGGATTAGGAATTTAACAAAGCATACTTATTACATAGACAACCAATTCAATTTATATTATTGGAAAAATACTGCCTACAAAGAGACCAACTTAGACAACAATGCAAGAAACAAATATGAATTCAACAATCAAATTCTTTTCTAAAAAGGTATTGGCTGAAAAACCAGGACAAAAGAGACAGATACTTTGTGAAATCTTAATAGAAGAAATAAATCAAGTATTGGGTATCCCAGAAACAATCACTCAGGAAGAACCACCCCTTACTACAACTTTAACACAAATAACTGATCAACAACCAGTAACAGTGGAAAATGAGATTATAACTAGAAATGTTGAAATAGGATCATCAACTAAAATACCAATCAATTTTGAGGAAGGGAGCTCTAGCAAGCATAGTGGAAATTTGAAATGTTACACTAATTTTTTATATTGTGCAATGTAGCTTTACAATACACAGCAAACATTCTAGCAATAAAAAGTAAGTGATAAACTGGATTTGAATTGGATCTGAACTTGATCTCCAATTTAGAGAGGTAACAACTACATACTGGCGAAGTTTCAGAAGCAATGAGTTCTGTATAACGTTTCGTGCAACAACAAATTTCCACTATGCTTATATAATTAACAACAATGTATGTACCAATTACATTTTTTATAATCAATACTAGTGTAACCATATGCTTCGCAAAATGGTAACACACAAGTCACGGGGAATAACAACATCTGTTAAAAAAATAACAGTTATTAAGAATATTTTGAAAATAATTTTAATGATAAAGGGAGGTTTAATTTTGCAAATCTTTCTAAGATTTAATTGGAACATGATTCTAAACCAAAAAGAATTCTACATCTTGATTTATACATAACTGTATTATTATCTCAATGGCCAAAAAAAATTTGACTGATTTTCTCAGATGATTATCCATACTCGAACTGATTCGATCCCGAACATTCAATTTGACCAGTAAGTTCTCAAAAACCTCCAATTCATTCACTATTATTATTGTCATTATTAATTGGATAACTAAACTGTGCGGCATTAATACCATTTTTTTATTATTATGTTAATAAAACTTCCAAGTGTATTTTTACGATCATCTCCGCCCCAATCAAGTGGATTATAGCCACCAATTAATTGCTCTGAATTTACATTTTAACATTTAAATGAAATATTGAAGTAGACTTTAAACCGGGATTTTATTTTATATTATTAATATGTAGTAGATTTTTTTGTGATTACAATTAAATTCGCTCGCGTCATGGCGAGATTAAATGAAACTGTATTAGTAGTATAAGTGAATTGTTTTATAAGTTGAAATTTTCACCAGCTATAATCCTATAACGTAACAATAATGATGCAAAAAATTTAATTTTGGTCGGACATAACTATATTTTAATAGAAAGTCCCATATATATTTAATGTTTATTTTCTCTTTTTTTTAGGCAAACACATATTAATATTAATATTAATAATATAGATAGTCAAGACCTGGTTGGTTTGAGCATGTCCTGAGGGTTTTCTGGTGTTAAAAAAGTAAAGAACCCTTTGATTTTGCGTCAACAATTGACGATGATGCGTATACTATTAAAAATATAAGTTATACCGAAAGATTTCAATCAAAAATAATAAAAAAAAAACTTATTTATTTAAATTCTGATGAAAAAAAACAAAAATCTTTTTGAATGGTGACTATAGACGGATGTCACGCGTTTGAGTTCTAATAATTAATAAATTAATCGACAAATTACCAACTTGATGGAAGGAAGAAAAGGAAAAAACTGGGTTAGCATGGGAGGGTAACGGTTTAAGATCTAGCCAATGAGTTCTATTAAATATTATTTTAAGTTATGGTTAGTTTACATATTTGCAGCTAGATTAAAGCTTTTACTTTGTATTTACAAATAATAATCATTCATTGATGTGATGATTATTTATATTTACATGAGGACAACATTGACGATAACCAAGGTGATGACCTTTTTATAAAAGAAATGTAATATGGTAATGCAGTTAATTGGCAAATTATGAGGTTATTTTTCCTTAGTTTGGGATTTTTTAGAATTATGTAAATTAATTTTTTTCTTTAATACATGGAAAATTTTGGGTTCGTCACAATCTAACTCTGAACCATCATTATCTTGTCGAAGAAAGTTTCAAAAGCAAGCAACAGCATCTCTAATTGAAATATGAGGTGGAAATGCTTTCTTCAATTTCTCGATTTGATTAAGTGACAAAATTATTTGGGCTTGGACTAGAAAAATTGACCTCTGGTCTCAGAACTAAAACCGTGCTTTTTTAGAGTAAAATGGTCGTAATAAGTAAATAAGTAAGTTCTCAAGGAAATCCATTATCTTCTCCAAATGTGCCTTTGTTTGGTTCTAAAGAAGTATCCTTCTTTTGGGCTTTCATTGGAATTCCAATTGGCTTGATGGTTGAATGATGAATAATAGGAGGGGGTGTAATAATCTTCATCGTTGAAAATATAGTCATTATCATCAAAATAACAATCTCAAGTATGCTTGGCGTTGTAATTGTACAAACTACTTGCGCTGAAATGATGACATCATTGTCATCGTTCTCGGAACAAATCCTGATCAAGTTTGACGAGTTAGTGTAAGATGATGATAATGAGCCTGTTGGCGAGATCCCTCTTGATAATGAGGATTGATAGATGGAGAACGGAAGATTTTTGCTGGTGCTATAGCTATTGAGAAGCGAAGATCATGAAGCAAGAATTATTTTCTTATTATATAAAATAAAAAAAATCTTAATATTATAATTATTTTGCATAATTGTTTCCGTTTCCGTTTCCGTTTTCGTTTTGCTTTCGTTCAAATTTCGACAAAGGTAAAAAAATAGAGAAAATTTTCATATTTT